GGTTTTCTTATATCCAGAGCTTTTCAAAAAAAGATGTCAGCCTATGCACTTAACATATCGAATGTACACCTCCTTTACATATTTAGAAAACTAATCTTGAAAACTTTTTACTAGCATTTTACTAACAGAGGATAATGCCAGAGTGTAACGTGAAATGGGAGTAAAATAGATAGGTGACCTTGAAGCCTAAAGAAAGTGTTTAATACTTAAAGATACAGATCTCATGGAAGGTGTTGCTGTTGTGACAAATGCCTCTTAGGCCAGCAGCAGCAGCACATTCCCAGGAATCCTTTAGAGTAAAACTCTGTCATTCTCCAGAGCCTCATTCATTCAACCACACTCACCTTCTCACTGCCGCATTGCCTGCTGCCGTGGCAACCATCAAACAGACCCCCGCCCTAGTTAGCAGTAAAGGCATGCTGGGTAATTTGACTTCACCTGGAACATTTCTCCTGGGGGTTACTTTTGTCCTTGAAATATTTTTATCTCATAATTTCAACCATTCTGCTTGTCTAGTGAACTTAATTGTTAATTTTGTGTGCATTTTGTAAAAAAGAATCCCACACATAATGCAGCCAGTTCACATTATACAATGGTTTTGAGTTTGTTCTCCTTTGCAGAGTCTGAGTTAGAATAAAGAAAAGTTTGACCGATTTACAGTCTTGGTTTAGTTTTTTGTCAATCTTTTGTTTACATTATGTGTGTAGTTATTATATTTTGACTGATTAATATGATTTATTGGGGTTTTCCTTCTTGTTTAGATATTGTTCATAGGGTCTTTTAAACAAGCCTTTGTTTAAAAGCCTTTCTTTATGTACAGCTGTCACACATTAAGTTAATCTGACATAACTGAGCTCTGCCCAGAGTTTAGGGAAACAGCCTTCTCAGCACATCCTTAATGCCAGCTTGGTCCTTTGCTTTATTTTCCTCTGTGTTGCCTCCTGTAAGTCTTTGTAGCTTTGTGACTGTTAATTTAGAATAAGAATAATAACAAAAGTGATAGTGCCTATCTCATATTTTATTCCTAATTATACATGCTGTGAGAACACAGCCATGTGTTGGTAAATTTTACATAAGGTTCATTTACCTATAGGGGGAAAAAAATCTTTTTGACTAAACAACATTTGAATATGCACCATTTCCAAAAATTGTTAGATATGAGAAAACCCTTTAAACGTTTTGGTTTCAGTCTACAGAGCTTTTTTCAGGAAAATCAAATGTCCATCTATTTTTATTATATATTTTGCACTGCTTTTCCCTCAGTAGTCTAAAGTCTATCAAAATGTTTAATCACGAGGGAAATAAAAACCTTTTCAAACGTTAAATTCCTCCCTCCGTTTTTATGTCACATTTCACTGCACATTTCACTCTGTCCCGTTTTCTCTGCCAGTGGGAATCCCAGGTGTGACGACAGTAGCTGTTGCTGTAAAATCCCAACAATGAGCCAGCCGCTGGTTCTGGTTTCTACGGGGGGGGGGCTTCACATGTCAGAAAATTCACAAAAAAGCTGCAGCTAAAGAAAATCAGATAATATGCTGTTATGTTTTTTTTCTCCACCTGCTTATAAAGCTAAGGGACAGTCTTTTTTTCTTTAACTTGCTTGTATTCCATCAGCCTAAAACATTTTTTCCATAATATGAAGCATGTGTTTGTCAGCCTCTCCCTTCCGCAGCTGCAAACACTGTCATGCTGCTTTACGGGAACACCCCCCCCAACCCCCATCCACCAGCCCGACTGGAAACGTCAGCGCAGCACGAACAGCACGGCTCCTCCTGTCCTTACACATGCAAAATTGCAAAAAAAAAACAAACAAGGAGCTGTTCGCAGCGTCATGTATGTTATGAATGAACTGTGGCAGATTAAGGGGAAAACATACATGACATGCATTTAAATCCAGTTCTTATTAATCGCAGAGTAAACATGAATTAATCCGAGTCCAGTCTTTTTGATGCACAAGTCTTTTACTGGATGAGAATTTATAGAGATGTAGCTTCTGTGCAATTTTTGCAGTGGACCATTCTGACACGCATTCAGCATCACTGCAGTTTTTATATGCTGTAGCTATAGCTTTAATATGCTCTTTTTAAAAAATTGTTTCCCTTTAGGGAAATGTTAGATAAGTGTAACTGAAGCTTGCCTACTGCTAGTAATAGAGAACATGAGAGTTCAAGCTAAAGACATCTTAACAAATTCATAGGGAAGCTCTTGGTTGGTTGGTTTGCAGATGTAATACCTGCAGGCTGTAAAGGTTTGGACGCTGTTTGCAAGCATTCAGTGAATTTCAATCTTCTAGGTCAAAGAGCTCATTCCATTGGCATACAGCAATTTGTTTCTCTTGCTTTTACCTTCATTTTACAACAAAGTAGCTGAGAAGGACAAAGGCTGATTGTGTCTGCATGCAGTCTATGTAACTGTCACTCAGAAAAGGCAACAAGATAAGGAGAAAATGTGACAGACTTGACCAGTTTTTGCAAGAATCTGTTTGCCTTTTCAGTTTTTTACTTTTCAAGTGGGTCGGTCGATTGCAGGCTTGATCTTTAGTGTGTGGTTGTATTGGATCATCCTGCAGAAAACATGTTTTATATGCAAGTAGAATTTTTTTTTTCTATTGGTGCTGCAAGCAGCAAACTAAAATTTAAGTAAGTAAAAATAAGAATAAAGGAACCGTGCCTTTTAAAATTCTGTACGCTCCTTGAAGTGTTTTACATCTTTTCAAATTAAAACCTTAAAACTAAATGTGCTTTAATGGGATTTTAGCTGTCAGACCAGCTCAAATTATTAAACAATTGTGAAGAGGAAAATGTTTGTTTAATAAATAAAACATTCAATGTGCAGTTCCAATTTAGTAGATCCAGTTTTTTTGCTGGAAAGATGCAGCTCTTTTGGGTTTTGTCCTCAACAGTTTCACTCCTCCTGAGGCTGAGTACCTGTCTAGTTTCAAGGGTTTTTCAATGTCTAACAGATTTTCTTGCTGGATTTTCAGGTATTTATCTCCATCCATCTTTCAAACACCTCAGCTTCGCCTTTTGATGCATCATGATACACTTACTACCATTTTTTATGGAATAAATAACGTGTTGATGGTCTTCTATTACCGTATATAAGTATTCCGACCCTGGGATTCACCTAATTAAGAAAATATAGTTAATCCGTTTTTAATTTAGTCTTAGAATTTATACAGTTGTTCTGGAAACATCCTTATGGAAACAAAAGAACAGATCAACAAGGTCAGGGGAAAAAAATAAAATAAAGTGGGAACTTTAGATCAGAATTTAAAACAGTATATGAAGCTTTGGCGACCTCACAGATTATTTTTCAAGCCATTAAATGAAAATAGACAAAAGCATAAAATGACTGCAGACCTACCAAGACATGCTTGTTTTCTACTTAAACTGACATGCCAGACACAGAGAACATTTATCGGATGATCCGGGATCCAGATCTCGGGAAGGAGAATCTGTTGACAGGAATATGGTTAGTCCTTTATGCCACAGATCTGGCCTTTGTGGGGAAAATGCAACATAGGATAGTCCTGTTAAAGACTCAAGAAGTCTTTAGACTGAGAGATACTGTTGAACGGCTTAAAACAAATTAAGGATGAAACATTTAAATGGATTAATCCTGATTAATTGATTTTTGAAATAATTGTCAACTAATTCAGTAATCTATTAATCAGTAACTGGAGTATAGACTGTAGAATATACCTTTAGCTGACAGAGAATCCCACTTAGAGCAGTAATAATATCAAAATAAAAAAAATATATATTATAGTTTTGTATTTAAGATAAAAAAGACTTTGTTTGACAATATGCTCTATCCAGACCTCCCTAAGAGGAATGAAACATTTCTTTAAGGAATCTTTGGCTAGTTGATTGTTAATCCATTAATTGAAAAAATAATTGTCAGATTAATCGATTTTCAATATAATCATTAGTTGCAGCCCTAAAACAAATCATATGCATGTGTAAGAAAGAAGTAGTAAAGTCCAGAGCAGCATCTAATTGGTCGTCAGAGGTTCCCAAACTTTTTTATTTTTGGACCCACAAAGACCCACAAGAGTTGACTATTTTAAAAAAACATCAGCAACCAAAATAGTTGGTTTTGTCAATTTTAAAGTGATGTTTTCTTATCTTTAAGCACTTTAACATGAATTTTTATTGTTAAGTTTAATTTCTATAGTGGATCTAAAGACTCAAAATTGGTTGATCAAGGATCCCCAACTTTTGTCATCACTGTTTTAGAGGTTTTAATACCTGATGTTCACAAGCTGGCATTTTTTGGCAGAGAAGAAAGGGCAAATAATCTGACTGGTTATATGACAAAATATGAAGAGGTTTAAAGGGTATGAATATTTTTGCAAGGCATGCATGATGCATCGACTCAGCAGACTCCAGTTTATTCATTCATTCTTTGAAATACTAGAAAACTTTAAAGAAAAAAATACAACCTGCTGCCTCAGACAGTTATCTCCTGATAACATTTCTTTTACACATTTGCCTTATCTTAGGTTTGACTTTGATTTAAAGCTGCTGTAAACATCTGGTTCATTTTACATTTTGGGCACATTAAAAGTTCAGGAAATAGATTTTTTCCACTATCTAATTACAGGCTTAGGTAGCTGCTTGCAGGAGCTGAGCAGAAATAAAATCACCGTCCCCTCATCCTTCAGAGCCCATCCTTATTCTTCTAGAGACAAATCAATAACCATTCAGCTGCAGCAGTAGGACCTCTGACTCAGCTCCCAGATTGTTTTCTTTGTGTCAGGTTGGTATATTCAGCCATAAAATACAACCCTTACATATTTTTGCACTCCTTGCTTTTGACAGGGGAGCAGAAAATACGAGTAGCAAGTGAGAAACAAAGGACCAGATAGTCCGGTCTCATTCTTAAGGCTAACATTCCCTCCCTCACCCACCTCCCCCTGCCTTCGCTCTGCTTTCCCTTTTTTTCTGTATGGTTCCTGTCACCAGGATCCTGCCAGAGAACAGGTGTGTTACCACCTCTTAGTAGGGGGATGTGGAAGAGAAAGCTGCAGATCAACAAGACTAGAGCCTCTTGCAGGAAGAGCACAGCTCTGTAAGTCCATTCAGCCTCTGCAGTAAAGCATTTTTTTCTAATGGACTAAATTATGGGACGCTCGGTTGGTAGCAGGATGCAGCCTCAGTGGGTATGCTGTCAGGGCCTTTCTGGATGTCTGGTAAGGTGAACCTAATTGGTTAGTGTAGGTGACTCAGGACAAAGCTGTTAGATTAAGATTTCATAGCAGTGTTTTAAGTTATCATAATGAGGATGTTGCTTATAGTTTATAAATGACCCTTTTCCCAGATATACCCAGGTTTCTGATTCCTTACTTGTATTTTTTGGAAAACTTTACACTCTGCAGATAATGAGATCTTGATTTGTTGGGAGAAGTGTAACAGAAATGCTTCTAAAAGTTAGCTATTGAGGACAAAAGACCAGATATGAAGTGCATAACGACTATTTATCCTGCCATTAAATTATTCTGCCTAAACTGTGGAACTTTTTTTTCTGCCTCTATCTCTTTGAGCACTCTGTTATGTTTTTTGGCTGAGGAAGGCGAAAAAAAAACACCCTGGTGCAAAAAATAAGGTGCTAATTGCCCCTGTGTGATGTCCACTGTGTCGTATTTAGTGCAATCTGCTTTGTAAGTCCACAAATGTTTCTATAGAAAG